TAAACCCTAAACCCTAGACCGTTGAACAGCCGCGCCTTCGAGGATGGATCCCTCTCCCCAGGCCTCTCTCCGAGAGTCGGTGTGTAGTGTTGCTTCTTATGGGTTAGGGCTTTAGGGTTTAGGGTTTAGGGTTAGGGATTGAGGGTTTAGGGTTTAGGGTTTTAGGGTTAAGGATTTGGGGTTTAGGGTTTGGGGTTAGGGGATTAGGCTTACTTCCCCAACAAGCCAGGGAAATAAAAGGTTAAACTTTCAGATTCCTACTAAATTATAAGAACCCAAAAAAGTTTAACGGTAGGGTATTGGGGACTAAGTGAGGGATGTAGGGGTTGAGAGTTATAAGGTTATGAGGTTTAGGATTTGGGGCGTAGGATTTGGTATTTAGAGTTTAATCTCTTCAGGTGTCAAAAAACTATTCAACGCATAACGGCGGTCACCTGTTTTGGGCTTGCCTTCGGAGCTAACCAAATGCTGGACGACGAAATCCCGCTTCGATTCATCACATTGGGCGCTTTGGGCGGGTTTGTCGGCGTCTCCCAAGACCTAGTTCCTGACCACATAGTCTCGCTGTCTGCGTAGTACACGAACTAAAACAAACACGCCAAAGTTCACTTACAGTCAGTATGGATCAAAGCAGCCCTAAACCCTAAACCCTAAACCCTAAACCCTAAACCCTAAAAGCACCCCTAAATCCGAAAGCCAAACCCTAGCCCCAAACCCCGAAATCCCGCAGTCAGCACTAAAAAACACTCGGGTTTAGGGTTTAGGGTTTAGGGTTTAGGGTTTAGGGTTTAGGGTTTAGGGTTTAGGCGGTGCCTGAAAGCCTTCACCCTCCTCGGGCAGGTCGGCAAACCTGGCGTAAGACTGTCGGCATTGCTGCTCTAGAGATGAAAGACTCAGGGTTTCGAGCCATTAGACTTAGGAGTTTAGGGTTTAGGGGGTTGGGGCTTAGAGCTATAAGACTTAGGAGCTAGGGTGATCTTGGTTTAGGGGCGTGTTCAAGGTTGGTGGGATGAAAAGGTTTTCTGCTCTAATTGGACAAAAGAGTCTTCGCGACATGGCACCTGATGAGGGCAAGTTATGAGTACCCTAAACCCTAAACTCCTAAACCCTAAACCCTAAACCCCTAAACACCTAAACCCTAAACCCTAAATCCTAAACCCAAACCCCTAAACCCTCAACCCCTAAAACCTAACTTGGAGTTTCAGCTTGAAGGTATCGCCGAGGGTTGCGCGTGTCGCGCTTCAGGATGGGAGAGTTTAGGGTGTAGGCAAAACTTTTCGGATCTCCACAGAATAACTTACAAAGGCTTTTTAAAAAGAAAGGGAGGTTTCGGTGCCGAGGAACTCAAACTTGACTCGTGAAGACCTCAGGGTTTGGGTAGTTGTCTTTTCTTAGGGTCCAATTTTAGGTCTTATAAAATGGACCCTAAAAGAGACCCTAATTTAGAGAACTACCCATTGAGGGTTTAGTGGTTCAGGGGTTTAGGGTTTGGGGGTTTAGGGGTTTAGGGTTTATAGGGCTGAGGGTTGAGGGTTTGGGGGCTTAGGGTTTCGGGGTTAGGGGTCCAGGATTTAAGGGCGATAAACTCTAATTAAACCACCCAAAAAGGAACTAAACCCTAAACCCCCCTAAACCCTAAACTCCAAAAAAAAGGAACCCTAAACCCTAAACCCTAAACCCAAACCCCAAAAAGGAAACCTAAGATCCCCTGAACCTAAACCCTAAACCCTATACCCGAAACCCTAACCCCAAAAAGGAAACCTAAGATCCCCTGAACCTAAACCCTAAACCCTAAACCCGAAACCCTAAACCCCAAAAAAGAAACCTAAGATCCCCTGAACCTAAACCCTAAACCCGAAACCCTAAACCCAAACCCCAAAAAGGAAGCCTAATATCCCTTGAACCTAAACCCTAAACCCTACCCCCAAAAAGGAAACCTAATATCCCTTGAACCTAAACCCTAAACCCTAAACCCTAACCCCAAAAAAGGAAGCCTAAGATCCCTTGAACCTAAACCCTAAACCCTAAACCCAAACCCCAAAAAGGAAACCTAATATCCCTTGAACCTAAACCCTAAACCCTAAACCCTAAACCCAAACCCCAAAAAGGAAACCTAAGATCCCCTGAACCTAAACCCTAAACCCTAAACCCTAAATCCTAAACCCTAACCCCCAAAAAGGAAACCTAAGATCCCC